TTTGTATAATTTTTCCAACTTATTTGATAACAAATTAGTAATAAAAAGAATAAACATCACAAACATAAGTTATGTATACCTAATAAAAAATAATTAATTTATCTTTTTTTTTATTTGTATGAATTAATGTATAAATTAAAAGAGTAAAAGTATAAATTCAATGAAGTTTATTTTAAAATCTTATGATATCAAATGAATTAAAATAACAAGAGAATAAAAAGGAGGAAAAAAAAGGATGATATTGATTCTTTAATTTTAAAGAAACATATTTCGATAATGTTATATTTAAATAAGAATTTAGATAATTAAAAATAATTTTTGTATTGTCTTCCTTAAACTTGTTTTTTTTTTGTTTTATAAATCCACTAGAAAATATAATAAATCTAAAGTAATAAAATTCTTTTTCTTTGAAATATAAACACAAAGAAAGAGAGTTAAAAACATATTAAGGATAAACATAAATGAGAAATGGACTTAAACTATTAGAATTAGTTATTATATGTTTTTCTTTAATGCTTTTTGGTTGTTTATTAAGAATAATCAATTATAATAAAATTATTATTAATTAAAAAAAAAAGAAAAAATAATAAAAATAGAAATTAATTATTCCTATAAATCTTCTTCAAATTTCTTTTTCTAATCAAATACTATCTTTCAATTAACTGTAATTTAATAAATAAATAAAACATAAATATTATAAGCATAACACTATAATAATGTGTATAATGTCTATTTTAATAATAGATATTGAAAAATAGAAAGAAAAGACAATAATTTTTAAAAAAGAATGAAAAAAGAAGTGATATAAAAATAGAAATTGAAACTCAGAAATAGAAACCTAGATGCAACCAATGAACCACACTAATTTAAGTAATTCTTTTGTTTTGAATACTGAAGATATTCAACATTTGGTAATAATGGAGGAATCAACTAAATCATACTTAAAGAAAGAATTAGAATTAATTAAAGCAAATATTAGTTATCTTGATATTATTCATTTATATTCAAGTTTTAATAAAACACAAGAACCAACAGTGATTGAATTTCCTTTTACGGTTAAATTTAAGGAAAATCCACAAAATCCTATTCTTTTTATTGCACCATCTATTCCATATTTACCAACAACAGCAGAAAAACATTTAAAAGTATTAACTATTATTAAAAAACAGAATGATCTCATCAAAGAAATGAAAAAAATGACAGAACAACTATATGAAGATAAAGGAATACAAGATGAAAAGAAACCTAAAAAAAGAATAACACGAAAAGAGAAAAAAGAAATTATTATAAAACAGAATGATGATAGTGGTGATCAATCGAATACTATAGAAGATAAAATTTCATTTAATCAGTTACCTAATAATGATAATATTCTTCAAAAATCACAAGAAGGATTAAATTATTATAAAAGTGATAATAATTTATTAAGTACAATAGAAGAATATGAAAGTATTGAAAATAAAAAAGAAGATAAAATTAAAGAAATAGAAGAAAGTGAAGATAATGATAAAACTGAAAAAGAAGAAGGAGAATGGATAAATAAAGAACCTAATAAAAATCCAATTGTACCAGAACAACCTAAAGAAAAAAAACATCAACGTAAAAGAAAATTGAGAAGTGCAGAAGAAAGAAAACCTTCAATGAAATTTACTATGTTAGAACAAGAAAAAGAAGATTTAAAAAAGAAAATAGTTAAAGAAAAAAAAAGAGAAGAAACATCACGTAATAATGGAATTTCTCAATCTACTTCAATACAACCTCCATTAAGAATAGTACAAAAAAGTAATGAATCTAAAAAATCTTTATTAGAAGACCATTTAAGAATTGTAAATAAAACTATACGTTCTGATAAAAAAGATTTATCAAAAATTAAATCAAAAGATTCCTCTTTAAATACTCAAAAAACTTTAGAAGATAGATTAAAAGAATTACCAAAAAGAATGCCTAATCCAAAACAAGCTTATGGTGATTCTGGACTTATTAGTCAAATTACTAAATTTTGTACAAGTTCTGATACTACATCAAATGCAATTCGAGTCACTGACCAAACTCCAAGAAAATCAATTACTAAACCTCTTTTATTAAATTCTTTAAATACAAGTTCAATTGATGATATTGTATCTCCAAATAAAGGAATTGATTTGAATTATTCTCTTATAGAACAAAATGATCTTCTCAAAAAACAAGAAGAACATCCCTAAATTAATTCCTCCTTTTCTTTTACACATTATTTTCACTTATGTTATCTGTTCAATTTGTTAATTAAACAATTTATTATCTTTTTTTTTTTTTAATAATTTATAAAAAATAATATTAATATTATTATATTTCTAGATTTCTTAAAAAAATATCAATAAAAATTATTCACCTGGATAAAATGATTCAATAAATACTTATTAAACAGGTTCAAATTCTATAAAGAAAAATTAAAAAAAATGAAAAAAAGAATAACGAAAAAAAAAATAAAAAAAGGTTTATGAAAAAACTATTTTGAGTTTTCTTTTTTTTTTTTTTTAAAAGTAAATTCATAAAAAGTTCAAATAAAACAAATAGATAAATACTGAATGATATAATAGAATAATAAATAAAAGAAAAGTCCCACATTTATTGATAGATAATATTATAATATTTAATTGTTATCAATTGAATTATAATATTACTATTTGTTATAAAAAAATTAATCATAGAGGAAAAGATATATTTGTTTGAAGAATGACATTTTTTCTAAACACAAAAAACATGATGTAGTTCATTTGATGTGAAAAAAAAAAGAAAATTCTCAAAATATGAAACCCCCAAATACATGGTTGTCTTCATCTCATTAAAACTAAAACCACATTTCTTAGTTATGATTACCTCTAATCTTTCACCTGAAGAAATCAGACTTCTATTTATTAAAAAAGAAAGAGATATGATCATAATGGGTTTTAATTATCTTGACATTCTTGCAATTTACCATCCAATGTATTATAATAATGGATTCCTTCCTTCACGTCTTGACTTATTTTTCCCCTCTCATCCAAAAATGCCAAACGTTCCTTTAAGTGCTGATTTATTTATCTCTTCTAAACAACCAATCCCTGATAATGATTTGCCCCCTATCACTCCAACTACTACTATTTCTTCTGGAAATACTGAAAACGTTATTAACAAAACTACTCACAAAAATAAGGAATCTATTATTAGAAACAGTGAAAACCAAATACCAATTAATACTAATGATGCCCCTTCCTCTAGTCCCCAAAACGATGACCAGATGGTTGTAGATGATGATGAAACATTAGAAGAAGACAACGAAGATGTCCGTGCGTTGAGACAATTACTTGCACTAGAAAAGAAACAAGAAGAAAGGAAAAGAAAGAAACCAAAAAGAACTACTTCTTCTACTGAAAAATCCAACAAAGCATCTTCTAAACAAAAAAGAGTTCGTGACTCAGAAGAAGTTTTATTTATACCTGATTCGTATGTCCCTCAATCTAAAATCCATACAAGAAGTTCTACAAGACATAAAGCTTCTCAAAACATTTAATTAACTCAACAATAACCTTAATAAAAAAAATCTAATTGTTTATTTAAATGAATCATTTTTTTTAACTTATCTTTTTGTTTTTTGTTCCTTCTGTTATTTCAATTGAGTATTACGAAAATAAATTTTTTTTCCTTCATTGAAAAAAATAAAATCAAGATAGAACAAACTTAAAATTACCTTTTTTGATTTCTCTTTCATTTTTCCATTAATTATTTTAAAATAATTTCTTTTTTAATTTTTAATTTTTTATTATAATTAATTGAATGTCGTATAAAACAAAAATCAAAGAGAAATAAAGCTAACCTGAAATTGAATTAGTAATGAATAAAATAGTAAAAAATTAATAATAAAGTTATAAGCAAAATTTGTTTAAAAAGAAGAAAAAACAAAAAATACCAAAAAATCCATTCAAGAGATGAGCAAAAACATAGTCCTATCATTTATTTTCATTATTTGCTGTATTGGACTTGAAGATTGGGTTGAACCTACTGGAATAAGTTCTAAAGAAAAAGTTAGAAAAGCCACAGAATGGGCTGTACAAAAAGTAAATCTAATTAAGAAAGAACAAGAAGCACATCCAGAACAAGTTTTTATTCGTGGAGGGATATTTAGTTCATCATTATCATTATATCCTAAATTAAAAATGTTAGTTATTTCATCTAATAAAGCATATCCAATTAAGTATAGTGATAAAAGTCAAGCACCAAAATTAAAGTTAAATTATATTGACAAAGATGGGCAAGAAAAAACCAAAGAATTTACTTATCATATCAACACAGAAAAATCTGGTGAACGTTTAAAAGATGTTGGATGGGAAGATTATTTCTTTCCATTGCCTGATTATGTTACATCATATTCATTCCTTATTGAACCAACACAAGAAACAACAAAAAGTTTTGTTGCATTTTTATCATACCCAATAAGTGGATATGCTTTGAAAATGCCATTATTTGGAAGTACTTTTAAATCAGTACAAATAGAATCAACAAGTTCTGTTGGAAGTTCTAATGTTTATACATTTACAAATAACCAGTATGTTGACTTTGATATCTCTCAATGTTATTCATTTATTAATTCTGGATTAGAACAGACTTATGAAAATTCAATGGAACATTGGGAATCAATATTAGAATCTACAAATTGGGGATTTGGACAAGAAATGTCGTTGTTAGAGACATTTTCTTTTAATGGATTTTTCTGTTTCCCATTTGTTGATTATTCATTTTTGTCAGATACAACAAAGGTTTCAAGTAATTGGAGGTATTGCCCGAAGTATAAAGAAGAAGAAGGATTTGATGCTGATCCATGTTGTAATCCAAAAGCACCAGGTAAATGTAATACTTTTCAAGAACGTCCATCAATTTATATTGGGAAAGAATCAGTTTGTGAATGGAACTACACTACTTATACAGATATTACGTTAACTAATAGAGAAAAAATTCAGCTACAAGTTAGAAGTTATGCTATGCAAGAAGTCACTCAAATTGTTCATAACTTCCATTTTGAGACTTTACCAAGTATATTTTGGAGTTTATTGAATGCTGGTAATAACAAACGATTATTATGCCGTTCACTAATTTATAATCCTGAGCCATATTATTCAAAATATAATACGTGTCCCATTAATATCCAAACATATGATGGATTTGAACCATTATCTGGTGATCATTGTTATACTCCAACTCTTAATCAAATGGACCTCTTCACTGATTTATGTGAAAGTTATTATAATGAATCAACTCAAACCATGGCAGCAATACCTGATTTTTATATTCAAACAATTGTTTCATATATGAGTGAAAAGAAAACTACCGTGTTACATCATGATAGTGCTCATCCAACGTATTGTTATTCATATGATGGTAAAGTATTTGAATCTGAATCTGACAATAGTGATTGTAGTGGTTATGTGTGCGATGTCTATGGGAAAGGAAAAGTATTTAAAACTTTAGAAGCAGCAAAGAAAGAGTGCCCTCAGTTAGCAAGTAAATGTTGTATTAATAATCAAGGATGTGCCCTTTACAAAGGATCAAGTTTGGATAATAAATATGACATTGTAGGTGATTCGTATAATAGATTCATTGATGTTTGGGGTATGACACCAGAACAATGTACTGCCAATGTAGGAGGTTATTTAGGTAATGTAGACACAACAAAAGATGATTCTGCATTTGAATGTTTAGAACAAGTTGTTGGATGTACTGATTATGTTTATGCAAAGTTTGATAGTTGTGATGAAGCATCACTGTTATCTAACTTCTTTTCATATCATGAAAGAGATCTACCAACTTCAAAAACTTATCGGTTGAGAAGGGTAACTGCAGAACAAGATGTTAATTCAGCTGGAGTGACTGTTGAATATCGTAGTGTTAGAGATGACTATGACACAATATATTCTAACTCATATTTAAAGAGTGTCTTACCAACAATAAAAAAGGAGACACAAGTATTCTTTAAATATTTTAATAGAGAAATTTCATCATTTGTTACTGACTGTTTGTTTGCTGGTTCTGAATCATATCAGTTAGCTATTACTGGTGTATATCCATTGACTATTAAGACATTAAATAGAGATAAGTCAACTGATTATCAAACATTAACCTTGAGTCCTATGGGTGCAAAAGAAGATTTAACAATTT